TGAGCTCTAAAAAGAGCGGCGGCAGAACAGCCCTATCTATAGCACAGCGAGGGAGGTGCCTGGGAGAGGCAGGGCAGGGCTCAGCTCCAAATCCGATGGTTTTCTCCAGTCCCACTTGGGAACGCGGGGCCAGCAGTGTCGGCTGAGGGATTCCCAGCACGCCCCGGGTGCTGAGATCTCCCTGCCAGCGGACGTGTCCTGGCTGCTCAGCGCTTTCCTGGCCGTCTGCGCCCTTCCCGAGGGGGCTTGTTGTCACCCTTGTCAGCCAAAGGCTGGGCTCTCCCCAAATCCCCCCTGTGTCCTCCTCTTCGGGGCTGGGATTTCACTGCAGCACGTGGAAGCTGATGAGGATGGCCCCGCTTGGGACCCTCTGAGTCTGGGGTGAGTGCTCAGCATCCACCCGTGCCTGATGCTCTTGTGGTGGTCTCGGGGCAGCTGCAACCTTGCCTAGCAAAGCCGGTTGTGACAGTTGTGGCCCCTGGTAATTGTACAGGAGAGTTCAGCCGGCTGATGGGCGTTTGCGTTTTGCCCTGTGCTTTGTTTGGGGGGGACACAGGGGGCGGCTACATGTCCCGGGCAGCCCAACCCCGTGTTTGTGGGTGCCGCTGCATCACCCTGGGGTCTCAGCAGCGCCCAGTTTGGGCTGGACGTTGGCGCACTGTGGGCGCAGAGCAGCCCCCGGCAGCGGGCTCTACTCTTGGCTGGTGCCTGTCACCCTCTGGGGGTGCTGGCCGAGGCCTGAGACCTCCAACTGCCCCCCGTGAGAGCATTCTCCCCGGGGCGGTGGTGGCGGGGAGTGTGTCTCTTTAACGAGGCTGGGCTTGGAGCAGCTCTGCTGCTGGCACAGGGAGTGAGGGATGGAGCGAGGGCGGTGAAGGAGCCAGTGCCAGAGAGGGAGCCTGCAGCAGGGAGCGGCGGGGAAGGACCGCTCATCCCCGCCGGGTACCGCAGCCCCCCAGCCGGAGGGGCAGGGAACGCCACCCCCGGGGCCCAGGGCTGTGCGGAGGGCGGGGACCCAGCGGGTGCCGAGCTGAGCCTGCAGCCCTGTGTCATCCTCCTCCTCCTCCTCCTTCTCCTCCTTCAGGTAAGGGCCGGGGGATGGGGGTGGGGGGGAGCCTGGGACGGCGGTGGCCCGGGACCCTGCGGGTGTCGTGCAGTTCCTGGGTGCCCCAGGGTCGCACCCCCACTGCCCAGGCAGCCGCGGATCGCAGGAGGGGAGAGCGGTGGGAGATGAGGCAGCAGGACCACAAAAGTGCTGAAATCACCACCCGGCATGGAGCCGGCAGGGCTGGCTCTCCTCGCCGCTGGGAACATGCCCCAGGGCGTCAGCAACCGGTGTCCCTGGCCCTCGCCACAAACGTCCCGTGGCCGGAGGAGCAGCGGGACCCTCCTGCAGGGCTGACCCGCCGGGATGGGCCTGCGTCAGGGGAAATCCGTGGGGCTGGGAGGGTTTTGGGGGGGGGCAGGTGCCCGTGTTAGGGTGCATCGAGGGCAAGCGCCTCCTGTTCCCTGGCAGGGGGCTGCGTTTTTTCCAGGGGTTTCAGGGGCTCTGGGGAGGTGCGAGCAGCAGCACAGGTCCTGGACACGGTGGTCCTGGGTGCGGGGCGTGTGTGTGCGTGCAGCAGGCTCTGCTCTCTGATTCAACTTCCCAGCAGATGAAGCAGCAGTGCCAGCCAGGGGACAGCCCTGCCGGCTGGAGGCTCGGGCTGGGGACAGCCCTTCTCCCCATCCCCTTCGCCTGTGGCTGCCAGGGAAATCCCTTTCCCCCCACTCCTCCTCTTCGGGCTCCCTGCAAAGCGGCGTGCCCTGCAAGCAGTGGGCAGCAGCCCCGACACCTCCTGCTTCAGTGGCCTCCTGCCTGCTCCAGGAGTTGGGACAGATCCTGCCCTCCTGCCCTTGTGCCCCGTCGCAGCGCAGCGATGCAGGGCTGTCCGCAGGGAGGGGAGGCGATGGAGGCAGGGGTAATGTGGCGAGCAGGAGGGGCGGCGATGCCTCCTGGCTCCAGGCGCTGCTGCAGAGGCTTGGGCTCCAATCTTGTACCGGCCCGTGCATCTGTCACCAGCGGAAATTTCTGCTGGGTTTACCTGTGCTGGGGCTGGCCTCATCCTTCCCCGGATCTGCTCTGCACCCTCCCGACCCCAGCACCTTCTCCTTCTGGCCTTGAGTCAGACGGCTGTGGGCGGACATCCCTGGCACTGGGGCTCCCGAGCCTCTGACTCACGCTCTGCCAGGCAGTGCTGCGCTTCCTGGGTGTCTCATCATGTCATCATTGTGTATCCTGTTACCCCTCCCTCTGTGCTGGGGCTGGCCTCATCCTTCCCCGGGACTGCTCTGCATCCCAGCACGAGTGGCTGTTGGTGCAGCAGGTGAAACTCTGACTACTTCGCAGGCAGCTTCGGAGGGTCCACTGGGCTGAGGCGCCCAGCTTGCTGCAGCAACCTCGCTAGCAAACTCAACCTGCCCACGGGTGAGAAGAGAAACATTAAGTTATTCTGACCTAGAGAAGTGTTAGCTCCTTCTTACCTTCACCGAGGTTTTTTTTTGCCACTGGCACAGCAAGCCGCCCCCAGCCCCGCTGCTGCTATTGCCCCCTCCCTATCAGGGATGCTGCTGGTTAAACCAGCTCCTACTGGCAGCAGGTGGGAAGGGAGGAATAGGAGCAGGCTGCGAAGGCATTGGCGAACATGCTGGGGATGGGGAGGGGGCCAGGGACCTGTTGGTGATGCCACGCTGGCACCTGGGGACAATTTGCTGCCCCAGGGGAAGAGGACGAGGCGAGGACCATTGAGTCTGGTTTTATTCATTACCACAGGGCTTAGAGCAGTCAGCATGAAGCGTGGCGGGGCCAGATTGGGCCTGTTTACTCTGTGAGTGTAAATGTAAAGAGAAGTGATAAAAAGCAGCCAGGATGGCTTCTCCAGTAAGTCCCTGGTAAACAAGCTGGCAGTGCCCCGGCCAATGGGCGGCACTGCAAACAGCAGGCATGTTGCTGAGCATTAACACGGTGCCTTGGGAACAAATGGAAGGTCTTTGGGGTAAATCTGTCTTTAATAATGGCTCAATGTGGCTGGGCTAGTGGAGTCCCAGTCCCCGAGCCTGGCTGGGTGCTGTAGTCAGAGCAGGACACAGGTGAGGGTGTTCTCAGCAGTGGCCTGGCTGGTGTGGAGGAAAACTGGGCTGTGCAGTGACCCTGTGCTGCCTTGTGTGCTGGGGGAGCAGTTTGGGGGGCTCAGCAGTGCACATAGCATCCTGCACACAGGGTGGAGGATTGGCTATGGCAGGGAGTGGTTGGGTGGTGAGGCCCTGCCGGCACAACATTGCGATGCCAACTGAGCAGGTAAACAGCTCCCCTCCAGCATAATGGACTTATTTTCCTGGGATGCAGCCACGTTGCTAATGCACTTCTGCACTTCTCAGGGGCTCCCTGCCTTGTGCCAGCCATGGGCTTGGTCCTGGCGCTGCCTCCGAGGATGTAGCCCTGCTCCACTTTCAAGGATGCTCTGGGAGAGGCACCCTGTGACCGCATGCCGAGGGCGCCCCGAGCCTCCCTTTACCGATGCTCGTACGAGCTGTTCCTGGGACGAAGGCCACAAGAGTGGGGGCACCAGATGGTTCACTCGTACCTGGCCTTGTCCTTGCCCCAGGCGCATTGCATGCTGGAGCACCGGCACACAGCGTGACATGGGGATCTCCCTGCTGTTGGGTTGCAGGTGCTTGGGGCGAGCAGGGGATAGAGCACGGGATAGAGCACGGAGGTGTAGACCCATGCCTGGAGCGGGACCCACACACACTCTCCATGGAGAGGCAGGGCTAAGGCTGACCTGAACATTTTATGCAAATACTTGGTGGCACTGGGTGGGGTGATGTTAGAGAGATGCCTTGGCTTTGGGCAATCATTTGGGATGCTGCTCCCAGGTGGCTTTTCCAAGGGGAAGAGAGGCGTGGAGTGGGTTGGTGCCCTGGCTGGAAGGCATCCCCAGCTGCTTCTCTTCCCACAGCTGCTGCCAAAGGGCGGGATGCTGGATCTGTCCATCTCTGAGCAGAGTGTTACTTGCCCGGAGGCAAAGAGCATTGTCCCCCGAGCCTTGCTCCCCCCCTGCAGTGCCTTCTTCCCCTCTGTGCTTCTCTCTAGTGCAGTGCTGAACTTGTTGTTAATTATTAAACCCCCAGCAAACACTGCTCACTGTTTTGTCCTAGTTACACTGTGGACTTCTCACCCTTCTTTTTTTTAAAAAAAAAAACAAAATACCCTGGTAACCTCTGTGGGTGGATGGAGATGGGAGCAGCAGACGACACTCTCCCAGCCAGCACAGAAGATGGTCTGAGGAGGTTCTGGAGCCACCAAACTGCTGTGGGGTGGCTGAGAGATGGGCTGCATGTGGCTGGCTGTTACCTGTCCTGTCTAGGAGTCCCTGGTTTTCTGCCAGGGCTTGGGGCTTGTGCCTAACTGCTGCTGCCCATGGGAGAAGTCATTTCACTGCCCAGCAGCCAGGTTAATTTACCTGCAGGTGGAAGAGCTGTCTGTGGGTTCCTGTGGCTCCAGACCTAGTTTGCAGGTGTGCTAGGGTCTGAGCAAAGACCCTCGGTTCAGATCTCTGTGTTTTGTGGATGCTGCAGAGTGGCATCCCTGGGACAGGGAAGGCTGGGGACCTGCTCACCCCTTGCGGGCTGGGCAGATGGAAGTGGCTTGTGTGCACAAGCCCCTTCGCCTCAGACCCTGTCCCCGAGCACCCAGCGTCTGCCTCCCCTCTGCCTGCAGCTGCCTGCTGAGGTACCATGCCGGGCCTGTATGCCCTCTCCTCCTGGGAGGCTCTGCCCCTGAAGAGCTCCAGAGTGAAGGCTTGTGCCAACGGGTACTCCCTGAGCATCACCACTCAGCTCGTGTACACCAACCCTTATGAGGAGCCCGTGGAAGGTAAGGGAGAGCTATCGGGTCTGGCAGGGACCCGGGCTGCCTGTACAACTCCCTAAAAGCACCCATGCTGGAGAACATCCCAACTCCAGCCCACCTGTGTCCCAGCCCCCAAACCTTGCTCAGTTTGGGGAGCAAAGGCAGAGGCCAGCGGTGGTGGGGGCACCGCCAACACACAACATCATCCTGCAGGCAGGAGAAGAGCGAGGCTGAGCAAAAACATTCCCATGGCTGAGGAAGAGGGGGGTTTCATCCTCCCTGCCCTCCTCTGGGGCTAGTGAGGCTCTGGGCCCTTCCCTCATGTTGCCCCATTCTCCTACATCTAAATCGCCCTGCGAGTCAGATGGGCTCTTAGCAGTGCTGCCATGGGCTATACTGTGTCACGGTGGTGTCCGTGCTGGGATCTGCCTCGGGGCTCTCTTCTGCCCACAGGCATCTTCATCTACCCACTGGAGGAGTCGGAGGTGGTGGCTGGCTTCGAGGCGGCAGTGGGCAGCCGGCGAGTGACGTTCCAGGTCCAAAACCGGCACCGGGTACAGGACTGCTGCCTCCAGTGCGGCCCCAGCCCCGGCCGGCCGCACCGCTGTGCCAGCGGTAAGTGCCATGGCATGGGGAATTGTGTTGGGTCCTCCTGGCTGGGAGGCTCAGAACAAGCAGGGATGAAGCATGGGGGAAGCTGAGAGCCCCTTCCAGGCCACCCTGGTGTCTTGGGGGTCTCTGGGGCTGGAAATGTTAGCCTCCCCTTTCTCCTCCCTCCACCTCTCCTGGGGTTTTACCCATCCCTTTGCACGGCCCTCATTACACTTGTGCTCTGTTGTCCCCTTTGAGAGTAATTAGTGCAACTAACGCCCTCTCTCTCCAATCTTGCATGCCCCACTGATCTCCCCACCATCCCTCCCCTGCCCAGGCCACCTCGTCCTGGATGAAGATGCGGAGCGCTCCACCTTCATCATCGTCACAGGCACACTGTGCCCAGCGGAGAGCCTGGCTGTCACCCTGAGCACAGCACAGGAGCTGGCCACGCTGCCGGATGGGGCCCTGCACCTCCTCCTCCCCCCTGTCCTCATGCCCCGCGTCCCCGCCGTCCCCGAGAGCGAGCCGGCAAGCTTGTGTGACGACAGGTTGGCCCTATGGTGATTTTCATGGCTTCCTCAGTCTCTGCCATCCCGGGGGGGGATGCCGATGCTGGGCGAGCAGGGAGGGGGGTGGGAGCCATCACCTTCTCTCCCCTTGCAGCCCCACCAGCTGTTTTGGGGGGCCGGGTGCCCGGACCCAGCCATCCCCCGTGGTGCCTGTGGAGAGTGTGGACATCTTTCGGGGACAGCCCTACAACCCTTTTCCTTACGAGTTTGCCTTCGAGCTGCTGGTGAAGGGCCCCTGCTTGCTGGCAGGTAGGGGGGTGGCTCTGGGCAGTGTCGATTGGGGAAAACTTCCCCAAAATGTGGGCAATGTCCCCCCAGGATGGTGTTCCCCTGGACCCTCCATGTTCCTAGGAGGATGCAAGCCCCCTTCCCCGGGCATCCTCTTGCACTCCCTACACACAAGGAAGCCCTTTCCCCATCCCAACTCCAGGGCTAGAACCCCCAAAAGTCACCCCGTGTGTGGCTTTGGGCAGCTCTGTGTCATCAGCCTCCTTCCCCGGGGAGATGCAATGAACTGGGGAGAGGACAGGCAAGGAGGGGATGCAGATCAGTGGGGATGTGCTCCTGGCCACTGGCCCAGTTAATCCCATTAGAGCTGGCAGGGAGCAGCCGCTGATGCTGTGCTGGGTCTGGCACAGGTGCAGAGCCCAGCGGGTGGGGGGACAAGGTGGGGGGATAAGAGGGGCTACCCCGCCTCCTCCTCCTCCCCACAGGGCTGGAGAGCCCATCCCACGCCCTGCGAGCCGATGCTGACCCCTGGGCCAGCTCTGCCACCACCACCTGCGTCACCCTGGCCGAGCCCCATCGCTACGACAGGGACTTGGAGATCATCCTCTACCCCTGCGGTGAGGGGGGACGGTGCCCTCGATGGGTTTGGGGAAGACGGGGCATTGCCCCAAAAGCATCTGGAGCATCCCCCAGCCTCCTGCAGCACAGGGTGGCTCCCAACCCCCCCTGTGCCCCCCAGAGCCCCACCACCCCCACCTGGTGATGGAGGATGGCACCATGACATACCCTGAGTATGAGGCTCACATCCGGAGCCGCCGGGATTACATACGGATCGCCAGGAAGGACAGCAGCGGCGAGAGACAGGTGACAGGGAACGGCCACTGCCAGCCTGGTGGGAAGGAGGAGGAGAAGGAAGAAGGGGGGGAGCCAGTGGGATGGGCATGAGGAAGACTTCGGCATGGGCTAGGGGGGTGTGAGAAACCCCCTGGCCCACCTGGCTTGCAGGTGGCTTTCGTGCAGAAGCGTTTTCACAAAGACATCTTCCCCAACCCTGTGCTGATGCTGAACTTCTGCCCGGCGGTGGAGGATGTCCCCGGGGACCTGCAGAGTGTCACCCGTGAGGTCCTCTTCCTCGTCGACCGCAGCAGCACCATGAGTGGTCCTGACCTCGACAAGGTCAAGGTGAGGCATGGCTGCGGGGCCAGAGATGCTCCCTGGGTGGCTGGTCCTTAGCAGCCCTCCCCGGTCCCCGCTGTCACCCTAGGAGGCTTTGCTGGTGGCCCTGAAGAGCCTCCCATCGGGGACGCTGCTCAACCTCGACCGCTTTC